CCCCTCACGCTGCCTTTGCCCCTCCCCAGTGTGCAGAACCAGGTGGATGAAGTCATCGATGTCATGCAGGAGAACATCACCAAGGTGATCGAAAGGGGCGAGCGGCTGGACGACCTGCAGGATAAATCAGGTGTGATGTCAAACTCAGCTCTGCTGGCCTGCTTCCCTGGCTGCTGGGCTGGCTTAACCTGCTTCAGTTCTGGAAGCACCTCGTGTTAGACCTGGGATAACATTTCTGTCCTTGCTGAGAGTGGTGTTGCTCAGCCTTGGGCTGCAGATCTGACTTTCTGCTGACTCTCTCTCCAACTTTACCTGCTGCCCTGTGCAGAGGCATTAGTTTGGAGGTGTCTGGGTGCTGGGATCTAGTTGGTCCTTCAAGTGAAGGTAGATTGGTCTGTCTTCTGGCACTGTCCACTGGCTTGCAGAGCACGTTCCTGTCCTCAGAGAGCAGCCAGTACAGAGGGAGCACAGTGGGACCTGTGTGTGCTCTGGTGAAGGGCATCACATTGACTCTGCTGTGGCTTTGGTGAATCATGCTGTGGTTGGGTCTTTTACTGCATGAACTTAGTGGAGTTAGAAGAGGTGAGTGGGTGCTGTGACAGCGTGTGCACCACTGAACTGACTCTTTTCTTTCCTTTAACAGACAGTTTATCAGACAATGCAGCAGCTTTTAGCAAAAGAGCCAAGCATCTCCGGAGACAGATGTGGTGGCGAGACTGTAAGGTGAGCAAGAAGGGCAACGGGCAGGGCTGGGGTTGTGGAAGGGTGGTGACCTGCTGCCCCTGGGAGGAGGTGGAGCAGCTCTGCTTCCCAGCTGGAAGCACGCTGGGAGCAAAGGCCTCCTGTCAGGTTGAGGCTCCCTGTGTCAGGTGCCTGTGTGCTGCTCTTGCAGATGAAGGCGATCATAGCGATGGTGGTGCTCATTCTCCTGCTCGTCATCATCGGTGAGTAGCTCCACGTCAGCCCAGCCATGGCAGGGACATCTGGGTGGCACTCCATGCTGGGAGTGACACTGTGGTGCTGTTGTCCCTGAGGGACAGCGCCTGAGCCACCCCTGGGCTCCACTCTGCTGTAAGTCACCATAAGGGGTGCCTGCAGAGCATTCTGTGCTCCTGTTCCACACAGAGGAGCAGGCTCCAGCCAAGCCCTGCTGACTGTGACCAGAGAAAGCCAGCAGTGCCCTGCCAGCCTTGTACTGACCCAGGCTTGGCACTGACTGATCCCAAGGCAGGTGGGAGTACATGGGAAAGTTTCAGGCTAGAGCAATGTCTTCCAGAAACATCTCTACATGTATCAGCCACCTTGCAGTGAGCCTGCTGTGTACAAATGCTCTTCCCCAAAGTTTATGTGCTGCCTAATTTCCATTGAGTAGCTGTTGTGGCTTTGCCATTGGTCCCTTCCCCTGCTCTCTGCCATACCTGGAGCTCCCCAGAGCAGGGTTGTCACTGCTTTTCCTAGCAAACAGCTCAGAATGACCAGAGCATGTTTCTTCCAGGCAGGAATAATTGATCCCTCTGCCTCACAATGACATGCTCCAGGGATCCAGGCAGTCCAGCATGGCAGTGCAGCTCTTGTGTGCCACTGGCTCTGGAGGGTTTTCCTCCCACTGAAGACTCCAGGGGCAGCTCTGTAACTGTTCTTGTTCCTTCAGCAAAGCCCTTGTGTCCTGTTGTCCTTCTAACACACAGCCCGCAGTGGGAGAGGCAAAGCTGGCAGCAGGGTTGAGAGAGAGACTGATGGAAAATCCCATCTGGTTTAGTTTTGGGAAGCTGGAAGGAGATGAAGGTAGCAGGATGTGCAGGATGTGCTGTCTAGCATGTGTGTGTACAGCAGATTGCTTGAGCTGGGAGCTGGGAGCACACTTCTGCTTGCAGCTGCTGGGTTTGTCACTGCAGAGATGGGGGGACTCCCTGGCAGGGGCAGGTGTGTGCTCAGAGCTGCTTTCTTTGTGTTTTGCAGTGCCCATAGTGCTGAAGTACCGATCCTGACAGGCAGCTGGAGGCTTCGGGGAGCTGCCTCTGGGATATCCCATCTGCTGTGTAATTTAAGTGAGATATCTGTATATAACCTGGAAGTTGTTTTCTCTCCTGGGAGCAGGAGGTGGTGGCAAGCAGCCAGCTCTAAGGGAGTGTTTGAAGAACTACCAAACAACCCTTTTCCAGTCAAGTACCTGTCCTGCTGTCAGGCGTTTTTTTATAACACAAGATTCAGATCCCAGTTCCACGTGTTTTGTGGAATTCTGGGTCTCTGGTTTGGGTTTGGAGCTGGCTACTTGCCCCTACAGTCTATCTGTATATATGGTTGAGTTGTAATATTAATAATAATTATAATAATAATATGGTTTGAGCAGCTCCCTGCTGCCTGCTGTGGAAGGCAGAGGGGACTCTGAATCAGAGAAGAGGAGGGAATAAATGTCTGAAGGGAAATATGCCATTATAGGGAACTGATTCTTTTGAGGACAACTGCAAGGGTGTTGTTTTTCTCTTGTTCAAAAAGAAAAAAAAAAAGAAAAGAGAAAAAGTGAAATTAGGTTTTACAATCCAGAAGACTTTCTGGTCCTGCCATGGGAATGCACAAGCTCAGTGTTTTCAGTATTGCTGCTTACAGCTGTGACTAAAGACATTCCAGTAAACCTATTTTTGACTGTACATGTGGAGTTTTTGCACGTCTTCGTAAAGTTTTGGAGGACAGTCAGGGTTCTGAGGCTGGGAGTCCCTGTTTCTATGTGTTCTTAGCCAAAAGTACGAAATGTGTTTAAAACCCAGCAAGCAGCATGATTACATAAAGACACAGCTGGAGAACAATTCTCCTGACACCACCCACAGTGGAGAAGCCGAGTTCATATTCAGAGCCCTTCACCATGATGTGCTGGTCGTGGTCCTGCATGGCAGCCAGTTTTACTTCCTTGTGATCCAATGGGGTGGGGATTATTTCCAGACATGGGCACTGGGGGGCTCTGGGGACCCCTGTGCTGGAATGAACAGGACCTGAGCTCCTCTATGCAAGGGTGGGACTGTGGTGGTTCGGCTGTTGCCAGCCTTGGTCTCAAGTGCTGGTGGCATTTCTGTCAGAAGAAAAGGGAGCCTTCTCCTTTCCAGCCCTGAGCCTGGCACTTCAGCTGACCCAAGCTCTTCTGGTTCTCTTTTTGGGCTTCTCTGATGAGAGCAGCGTTGTCCTGCTAGGCACGTGTTTGAAATGATTCTGGAGAGGGGAAATGGTGCCCCAGAGAATTTCCAGTGCCAAGTCCCAGCTTCGTCCTCTGACCCTGCCCCCAGGACCTTGTACAGTTTCCACCCGAGTGCTGCCCCATGCAGAGGAGGGGGTTAGGAGTGAGCAGGGCAGCCTGGAGGGTTGGATGTGATTCAGTCTGCCTCGCACAGCTGGAACATAAACAGGGCTTTTCCCCTCTGCTGGAGCTGATCTCCCCACGTGGGAATCAGGAAGGCAGGCTGGGTTTTTCCTCCTGAAGTATAGGCTGGTTTTAACATCATACATTCAGTGGAAGGGACAATCCTGCCCATGCCTTGGGCTACTCTGCCTGCAAGGATCATGAAGGTGGGTGAGGAGGGACTGTGTCTGTCTCCAGGGGGCTGCAGATCTCGCTGAGCTGTTTGGTGCCATGTCCTGCCAGCTGGAAAACGAGTTAATTCACTCCTGCTGCTGCAGAGCCCTGCCAGGGCTCTGCCTTTCTCCCCCAGCCCAGCCTTGCCTTTGCTGCTGCTGCTGCCACCCACAGCAGGACCTTGGTGCCACAGGAGCCCTGATCAGAAACATGGAGGAATAGAATTTGCTAAGCAAGTTTTATAGATTTTTTTTCCCCACAAGGCTGGAAAGACCATTAGAAATGTCTGATCTTGGGCTGGTACAGAGCAGTCCTCCACATACTCCGTTGGTGTTGTGGTTTAATATTGCAGCCTGTGCTGTCCCACCCTGGACTGGTGGCAGAGAGATCTGCAGTCAGCAGAAAGGGAAGGGGTGTTGTTTCCAGCAGTGTCTGCATGCTTGCGGATTGGTTTTCACTTAGAAGCTCCTTCGTGACCTCTTCTACAACAAAAACAACTCCTTCACCCAAGCTTTGGGTCTGTTTTACCCATTCCTGTACTGTGCAGAGGACAGACCATCAGCTGCTGTTTTCCACATGATTTCTTTTGTACATGGAATGGCATCTTCTGGCAGCAGCAGTGCATTCCTCCTCAGGATTGCTGTGTGAGCCTGTGGTGTGGCCAGGTCCCCATGCCTGAGGGAAAGGAGGCTGCAGAGATGGACACAGGGGCAGAGAGGCCTCCTGGCTGTGGCAGCCCAGGGGGAGAGGAATCCCTGCTGAGGAGTGCCCTTTGAAAGCTGGAGTTTCGGCAGGGTCTGGCCGTGAGGAGGGCTGGGTACACGGAGGGAGAGCTGGGACTCGCTGCTGCTCCTTCCCAGGGCTGCTCCCCGCCTGCCCTGGGCTGTTCCTGCAGGGCTCCACCCCGGCCCCACGGACAGAACTCTTGCCTGGAGCCCGGAGATTGTGCTGCAGCCACCAGCCGCTCCTGCATTTCCCGAGGTGCAGGGCAGGGAGAGCTGCCACGGGCCAGCCATCACTGCACTGCCCCGAGCTGCTGGAGTGGGCTGCTGATCCGTTGTGGGTTCCAGTCCCTCAGTGCCGGGGTTGTCCTGGGCACAGACGTTCCCAAGGGACAGCTCTGGCTGTCACAGGCGCCACCAGCAGCAAACCAACAACGGCGGGACTTTGTGGCTCCGGCACAGGAAACCTGGTGACAGAAAGCGCAGGGACGCGCCCGCAGTCGGAGGCTGAGCACCAGCAGAGCTTGGAGCACCATCCCCTTGCGGATTCCCCGGCTGCAGCTGATTTTCCTCAGCAAAGGCAGCGCGGGCTCCGCGGCCCGGGGCCGTGAGGGGCCGGTTGCCATGGCGACCCGCCCCGCACCCGGCAGTTCCCGCCTCTCTGCAGTGGGCGGATGCCTTCCCCATTGGCTGGAAGCTGCGGGGCGGGCTCGTTCCCCATTGGCCGAGCGCTGCGGGGCGCGGCGGCGCTGCGGGCGCTGATTGGCGGCCGGGCGCGCAGGGGCCGTGCGCGCGGGCAGCATGGCGGCGCCGGCGCGGCGGAGCGTCGTGTTCGTGACCGGCAACGCCAAGAAGCTGGAGGAGGTGAGGGCGGCGGGCCCCGGACCGGCCTGCCCCGGCCCCTGTCCCTGCCTGCCTCGTCACCTCCCTTCTCCCCGCGTAGGTCACGCAGATCCTCGGGGACTCCTCTCCCTACACGCTGGTGGCGAAGAAAATTGACCGTGAGTTGTGGCAGGGCCTGGCGCGGTGCGGTGGCTCGGCCCGGCCCGGCCCGGCCCGGCCCGGCCCTGCGCTCAGCTCCGCTCCGTCCCCGTGTCCGCAGTGCCCGAGTACCAGGGGGAGCCGGACGAGATCTCGGTGCAGAAGTGCCGCGAAGCCGCCCGGCAGGTCACCGGCTCCTTCCCCTTTCCCGGCGGGATGGGTGCGGAGGGACCGCGGGCAGGGACACGGAACGATCCAGAGCGGCCCGGCCCCGCTGCCCTCCTGGCTGGGCTGGTTGATGCTGTGTCCCCCTGGCAGCGGGACGTCACGGGAGCTCCATCAGTGCAGGACAGAGTTTGATGTCTGCTGAACATTCCCTAGCTCCGGGATGGGTGTCCTGCAGCCATGCCTCTGGAACACTGGCTTTCCCTTTCCTTGTCCTCCAGGATGGCAGGGAGTGTTCAGCCCTGCTCGTTTTTCTCCATGTGAAACCTTCCCCACTGTTCTTCAGCCTCTCTGGCCTGCCTGGGGGGTTGGGTTTGATTGTCTGTCTGGCGTATGTTGCCTTTGAGGTCGAGTGGAAACACGAGGATGGGATGGAGCAAGGCTTTGGAGGCAGTGCCTTCCTTTGGGTCTAATGTTCTCCTTCTCTTGGGCTGTCACTGTAGGTTCAGGGACCTGTCATAGTAGAGGACACCTGCTTGTGCTTCAATGCCCTGGGGGGGCTCCCAGGCCCCTACATGTAAGTGGCTGTTTCTCCTTTCACCTGCCAGGGTTAGGGACCCTGGTGATTGCTGTGCCCTGCCCCTCCTCCTGCACCCCAGGGGCTGCTCCTGGAGCCCTGCAGTGAGTCATGGAGCAGGGATGGAGAGACAGACCTGGGCTCTTGGCTCTGCTTTCCAGTCTGTGGTGCTGCTCTGGCAGCTTGGGAAGCTGTGCAGGAGAGGCACCAAGCCTTTCAGCAGGACTCTGCCATGAGTGCCCCATGGCTTCTCACAGGGACAGCTTTCATCCAGAAGATAACAAAGTTATTATGTATTTATATACATAAACTTATATTATTGTATTATATTATTTATATACATAATAACTAGGATACAGTAAACGAAATACCCCACTGCTGTGCCCTCTTCAGCTTAAGAGGTAAGTGTGTCCTTCCTGGTAAACAGTCCAGAATGAGTGATCTTACAGCACACTGAGAGGGGTTCAGAGGCCTGTGAAAAGGATTTCAAAGGCCTATGAAAATGTAAGCAACATGCCTGTATTGCTGAGAGATAATTGCAAAAATTGATCTTCCCTCTGTCCTTCCCTTTCAGAAAATGGTTCCTGGAGAAGCTCAAGCCAGAAGGTACTGCCCCCGTGTTACTGCTCTGTGTGAACCCACTGCTTTGCCCCTGAGGTGGCCCCTGCCCTGCTGGGGGAACCAGCAGCTTCCTCGGGCCTGCTCTGTGCCCTCCTTCCCAGGGTGTTGTTTTTCTCAGTAGTTCCACCCCTGGATTCCCAGACTGCTGCCTCTGCGGGCTGGTGGCAGGGCTCATGGGAGCTTCTTGTTTGTCCTGGAAGAGCCCCTGCTCCCTGAGGCTTAGGGAAAGCCCCTCTCCACTGACACTCCCCTCCCCTGCTGTGCCCTGACCCCACAGGTCAGAGTGTGACTGCAAATCCTGCGCTGGTCTCATTGACACGAGCACTAATCACTTTCAAGCACCTGGGGCTTTAGTTGTGCTGGGTTGCTTCCTCTCCCAGACTCGTGGCAGGGCTCTGGAGATGAGATCTGAGCTCTGCCTTCAGCCGCAGCAGAGAACATGCTGCTGCCTGAGCTTTGTCCCCTCCCGTGGTGCTCCAGACTCGTGGCAGGGCTCTGGAGATGAGATCTGAGCTCTGCCTTCAGCCGCAGCAGGGATCCTGCCAGGAACATGCTGCTGCCTGAGCTCTGTCCCCTCCCGTGGTGCCTGGGAATGCCGTGTGGAACACATCCATGCCTGGGTGGCCGTGCTGTGCCCCCAGGGAGCAGCAGGAACAGGCTCCCTTCTGTGTCCCCAGGCCTGTACAAGCTGCTGGCTGGCTTTGAGGACAAGTCTGCCTACGCGCTCTGCACCTTCGCCTTCAGCAGCGGCAACCCCGAGGAGCCCGTGAGGCTCTTCAAAGGCCAGACCCACGTAGGTGCTGCCTGCTGGCCAGGAGGGCTGTGCTGCCCTGGCACAGCAGCACGGCCTCACTGAGGGCCCTGGTGGTGCCCTGGGGTGGCTGGATGTTGGGAGCAGGTCGGGGAGGGCACAGTGCTGGGGGGTGGGTGCTGGGCTGAGCCCTTGTTCAGTGCTGCTCACTGAGCTCTGCACGTGTCCTCAGCCCCATCTCCTCTGTGTTCTTAGCTCTGTTACTTGGACACGTTAAAGCACTGCCACCATAGGGCAGCCCGAGTTTGGAGCTGCTGACTTTGGTCACACCCTGGGCACGAGCTGGGGAGGGGACAGCACCTGCAGGGCCTGTGATGGAAATGTACCTGCAAGGGAAGTGCAGTCTTTGAGGGTTTTTTGTTCTTTTAAAGATTTTCTGTGCTTTCTCACGGCAGGGGGTGATAGTGGAGCCCAGGGGCCCTCGGGATTTTGGCTGGGATCCCTGCTTCCAGCCAAATGGCTACAACCAGACGTAAGTGCTGTTTTTCCTGCAGCTCTGTGTGTAAGGCAAACCGTGGTCAGGGGTGTCCAGAGGAACTTGATTGTGAGGAGGGGCATTAGGGGGACATGTCCTCTTGGCTCAGAACACGGTGGGTGATGGGAAACCCCCGGATCAGGGGTTGTGTCACTACAGATGCCCCCTGAGCCAAGCAGGGAGGCAGAGGGGGAGCTCTCGGTGCTGTGTCCCTGCTCCTGACGCTTGTTTGTGTGTCCCGCAGCTACGCTGAAATGCCCAAGGCAGTGAAGAACTCCATCTCACACCGGTACAGGGCGCTGAGCGAGCTCTCCGCCTTCTTCGTTCAGAGCAGCTCGGCAGAGCTCGGCTAGCGCGCGGCCACACGGGATTCCTGGCGCCGGGAAGGGCTCTGCAGGTGCCCCAGCCCGCACCCCTGCCGCGGCAGGCGCTGTGCGCGTCACTGCGCTCCGCTGCGGGCTGCCATTAAAGCCGCTCCTCTTGAACCCGCCGCTGCCTCGCTCTCCGCTCTTTTCATTGCTTCAGCGGAGCCCCGCGGCCGTGCGCGGTGAAAGCCGCGGTGCTGGTTCGGGGGCGGCTTCGGACCGGAGCCGGCACCGGGCGGGGGCGCGCCGGGCCCTGCGCGGGGAGCGCCGAGCAGCCGGCCAATGGGAGAGCGGCCGGGGTGGAGGCAGCCAATGGGGAGCAGCTGGGGCGGAGCTGCCGGCCAATGGGGAGGTGCCGGGGCGGAGGCAGCCAATGGGCGGCGGGCGCGCCGCGCAGCCGGAAGCGGTCAGCGCGGCGGACACGTGGGGCGGCGGGAGCGGGGCACGGCCCGGCCCGGCTCGGCCATGGAGCTGCTGCCCCGCAGCCCCGCCGAGTTCGGCTCCGCACGCTACTGGGATCGGTTCTTCCGGCAGCGCGGGCAGCGCTCCTTCGAGTGGTACGGGGCCTTCCCGGAGCTGTGCCCCGTTCTGCACAAGTACGTGCGGCCCCGCGACAAGGTGAGCCCCGCGCTGTGGCCGCTCCGGGCTCCTCCTGGGCGGCGAGCTCTGAGGTGGTTGTGCCTGAGGAAGAGGAGGCTCAGGTCTGACCTTATCGCTCTCTACAGCTCCCTGACAGAGCTTAGAGCCAGCTGGGGGTGGCTTCTTCTCCCAGGCAACCAGCAGCAGCATGAAAGAACAGTCTTGAGTTGCGCCAGGGGAGGTTTAGGGCGGGCATTTGGAGAATAAATTTATTCAGAGAAAGGGCGCTTAGACACTGGAATGGACTGCCTAGAGGGAGGTGGTGGAGTCACCGTCCCTGGAGATGATTAAGGAAAAACGGGATGTGGCACTCAGTGCCGTGGTTTGGTTGGCGTTTGGTCATTGCTTGGACTCCATGTCCAAGGTCTTTTCCAGTCTAGTTGGTTCTGTGTGCAAGGACTGACACAGATGATGTGAAGCCCCCAGTGTGCCTTAGCAAAAGGACAGGAGAGAGCCCTGGTCTGGGCAGCTCTGGGGGTTAAAACTCCGGAGTCATTCTCCAAAAACATGCAGCAGGCACATCACTTCTCTGCCCGTGGCACTGTCCCCTGTGGACGTGTTGTCTTCGGCCATGGAGAGGGAGTGCAGCCCCCAGGGTGAGGTTTGCACAGAGGGCTCCCACACACGACTGCTATTTGCTCCCAAAATGGGGGGGGGGGGTTGTTTCCAGGGTGTTCTCACTGCTCTGGTGTGCTGCCCAGGTTCTCGTGGTGGGCTGCGGGAACTCGGAGCTGAGCGAGCAGATGTACGACGTGGGCATGTGCCAGGACATCGTCAACATCGACGTCAGCGACGCCGCCATCCGCCAGATGCGCGAGCGCAGCGCCGGCACCCGGCCGGGGGTGAGCTACCTGCTGATGGACATGCTCCACATGGACTTCCCTGACGCCCACTTCCAAGTGGTCCTGGACAAAGGCACGCTGGATGCCCTCCTGACCGACGAGGAGGAGGCCACCTTGGCCAAGGTGGACCAGATGTTTGCTGAGATCAGCCGGGTGCTGCAGGTAGGAGGGCGCTACCTCTGCGTCTCCCTGGCTCAAGCCCACGTGCTGAGGAAAGCTGTGGAATACTTCTCCCAGGAAGGCTGGGTGGTGCGAGTCCACCAGGTGGCCAGCGGTGGGGACAGGCAGCAGTTTGTCCTGCCGGTCTTTGTGTACGTGATGACAAAGTTCAGGAAGGTGCCTGGCTCAGCAGCACAGATCCTGGAGATCTGCCCTGAGGAGCAGGACCGGCCGATGCGGGTGGAGAGCGCGGAGCGCCTGGTGGCCGCGGTGAAGGACAGGCAGCATTATGCCCTGCTCTGCAGCCAGATCAGCAAAACCCCCTGCAGGGAGCAGGTTTCCTTGGATCTGTGTGACAGAGAGAGCGGGAAGCCTCGCTACACGCTGCACGTGGTGGACAGCCCCTCGGTGAAACCGTCCCGGGACAATCACTTTGCCATCTTCATCAGTGAGTACAGCCTGTCCAGGCTGCAGTCAGGTGCTTGCCCTGGCCAGGAGCTGCAAAACAGCCCTTCAGGGCCTGTTGAATTTGGGGCTGGAGAGGGAAATAACCCACCTGTGTGGGGTTGGGGTGATGTTTTAGTCCTGGCTTTGCGGTGATGTTGCCTGATGGTGTAAGCAGAGATGTGGCACAGAGCTTGTTGGGCAGAGGGACACTGCCTGCCCTGCCTCCAAGGTGGTGATTCTTGCCTGGATGCTGGTGACAGACAATTTAACACCTTGCAGCTGGGAAGGCAACGCTGCTCTCTGTGGGTGTCCTGGCTTGCAGGGCCAGACTGCTGGGGCTGCACTCACAGAGATGTGTCAGCCTCTGCCAGCAGCAGTTCCCTCCCTGCATGCCTGCAAAGCTCCCACAGCCTGCAGGCAGGTCAGGAGCCTGTTTGACCCTCCCTTCTAATGAGATGTGGTTTTTCCATCTTTTTGCATGAGCTTGCCCAAAACAGGGCAGATCTTGGCTCTCCTGATGGTCTCAGTGGCTCTAGCCAAGCAGTGCAACAGCCCTTCAGGGCCTGTTGAATTTGGGGCTGGAGAGGGAAATAATCCACCCGTGTGGGGTTGGGGTGATGTCCTGGTGTTGCCTGGTGGTGTTTGCCTGGTGGTGCAAGCAGAGATCTGGCACAGTGGGCCTGTTGAATTTGGGGCTGGAGAGGGAAATAACCCACCTGTGTGGGGTTGGGGTGATGTTTTAGTCCTGGCTTTGCGGTGATGTTGCCTGATGGTGTAAGCAGAGATGTGGCACAGAGCTTGTTGGGCAGAGGGACACTGCCTGCCCTGCCTCCAAGGTGGTGATTCTTGCCTGGATGCTGGTGACAGACAATTTAACACCTTGCAGCTGGGAAGGCAACGCTGCTCTCTGTGGGTGTCCTGGCTTGCAGGGCCAGACTGCTGGGGCTGCACTCACAGAGATGTGTCAGCCTCTGCCAGCAGCTGTTCCCTCCCTGCATGCCTGCAAAGCTCCCACAGCCTGCAGGCAGGTCAGGAGCCTGTTTGACCCTCCCTTCTAATGAGATGTGGTTTTTCCATCTTTTTGCATGAGCTTGCCCAAAACAGGGCAGATTTTGGCTCTCCTGATGGTCTCAGTGGCTCTAGCCAAGCAGTGCTACCTCCCTTAAATGTCTTGCCATTCCCCGTGGCTCCTCCCTTGGAGGCTGGAGAGCCAGGAGCATCCCAGGCTGATGGCAGCCCCTTCTGCAGTCCCCCAGGGCAGGGAGACCGAGTGGAGGAGCTGCCAGGAGCATCCCAGGCGGATGGCAGCCCCTTCTGCAGTCCCCCAGGGCAGGGAGACCGAGTGGAGGAGCTGCCAGGAGCAGCCCAGGCTGATGGCAGCCCCTTCTGCAGTCCCACAGGGCAGGGAGACCGAGTGGCTCTTTGGGACGGAGGAAGGGCGGAGGCAGCTGGCGGCCAGCGCGGGCTTCGTGCGCCTGCTGACGGTGGCCCTGCACAGGGAGCAGCTCTACGAGGGCATGGCTGCCATCCAGGCAGAGCTCTCGGGGAAGGTGATGGAGCTGGCCCCGCCGGGCCTCCCTGCCCGGCAGCAGGTGAGCCTCTGCTGCCCGATCCCCTGGCTGGACTTCCCAAAACAAGGGGGAAACCCTCTTCTCTTGGCTTTCCCTCCAGCTGTCTGTCTGTGCTTGGAGGATTTGAGGTGCTTGTGTGGTAGGATTCAGTACAAAGTCCTTGCCCTCCAAAACTCAGCATCCCAAGAAAAGCAGAGATCCAGAAACCCTAAAAGCATCCAGCCTCCTGTCTTAATCCTGGCTTTATTTAACTTCTGTTCCTTTTGTCTTCTCCTTCCTGTCCCAACTCCGCACATCTGAGCTCTTGCAAAAAATCTTGCTGTGTTTGCTCCCTGCATTCCCTGTGTTGGGAGTGAATCTGGTGCAGATCCCCAGCTCTCCTGTGGCATCCCACTGCTCCTCTATTGCGTCTGCTTTGTCCTGCCTCACTCAGGCCAGTGGGAAAGCCAAGCTCTTTGCCTGTAGCCTTTCCTCATTGCCAGCAGCCCCTGTCCTCCCTGCAGGTGCCCTTCCTGTCTGTGGGAGGGGACATCGGGGTGCGGGCGGTGCGGCACCGTGGCAGCAGCCCCCTGAGCGGGGACTTCGTCGTGGAGGACGTGAAGGGAGATGGCACCTGCTACTTCCGCCGCCTCATCTTCCTCCAGAACAGGAACGTGGTGCAGTCTGAGGCTCGGCTCTTGGCCCCCACACCTCTCCCAGGTACACGGGGCAGGGGCCAAGGCTGATTTTTGAGGGTGACAGAGACTGACAGCAATGGAGGAAGAAGGCAGAAGTCCTGCTGGGACCTGCCTGTTGTGCCCCAGAGCAGCCCTGGGAGTGTTCTTACACCGTGGGTGGGACAGGGCTGGGGGTGGCTAGTTCCCAGAAAGCACCTCCATCCCTTGCCTTACTGGCTGGTGTCTCCTGTTACTCAGGCCAGAAGAAGAAGAGGAAGGACAAGAAGAAACCCAGCCCCACTGAGCCACCTGGAGCCATCGACAAGAGCTACCTGTGCTGTGAGCACCACAAGGCCATGGTTGCGGGGCTCTGCCTGCTGGGGGGCCCCGACGCCCTCCCAGGTGACGAGGCCAGCAGTGGGAGGCTGTGCTGGGGCAGGTGTCCCCACGCCACAGCCCCTTGGGGAAAGGCTCTTTTGGCCAAGGTGCCCCCTGCACCTTTCCCAAAGCATTTTGGGGACGGTGGCTGGGACGAGCAGTGGGGTTATGGCATCCTGGTGGCTCACTGGGTGCTCTTGGTTGGCAGGAGAGCTGGCAGTGCTGGTGGTGGGGCTCGGCGGGGGCAGCCTGCCCCTCTTCGTCCACGATTACTTCTCGCAGGCCCGCGTGGCCGTGGTGGAGATCGACCCCTCCATGCTGGACGTGGCCACGCGCTGGTTCGGGTTCTCCCAGGGTGACCGCATGCAAGTGCACGTCTCCGATGGCCTGGACTACGTGGCCAAGCTGGCAGCTGAAGGTACCATCTCACAGA